TTTCGCCGGAGTTAGGACTATTCTTAGTTTAAGGTGAGTCATTTGCCACATGGAATATAATATCATACGTGGATTATTATTTTTGGCCAACGTGTACGTGTTTGTGCAACACGCTCCATACCACATACAAAAAAGTGTTAAATGTTGGGTTTGGATGGGTTCAGGGGTCCAGATGACAAAAGGATAAGTAGAAGGGTTCACAATACAAACAGATACAAGTACAAGGGTCCACCAGACCATTCTGCCTAAACTATATTGTATAGTAGTTTGTACTTTCTATGACTTTTGGCAAGCTATATTGTATGGTCAATGTATACTTTCTTTGATTTTTGGCTATTTTTTATGTAAATAAAATATGGTTATATTTATTGTAAACTAATTATTTTATTGCATAGAATAGAAATTAGCCCAAATCATAATTAGTCCGATCTGTTTATGTTTGAATGGTTTAATAACCCGCTTAATTGGGTTCATTTTGACCTGTTTAGTGTAGCACATTTCAAAACTAGGCCGACATGCAGTTCAAGTCCAAATTGATCCGTGAGAAATTTTATCTAAATATTTTTAATTTTCTTTTATTTGTTATGTTTTTTTATGGTCACTATACAAAGGAGAATTTTATTAGGTGCTCAAATAAATTAAAGAAAACTAACTTTGAATTTGTAACTTACTAAGAATTGAATATGGGTTGGATTATGATTTAGCTTATTTTAGCACAATCCACTTTAGCCAAAATATTTAAGTAGGCCAATAATCCGTTCATTTATTATGTCAACTCATTTTAACATTTTCAAATATAGCTCAACTCGTTCATTTGACAATCCTATCTATTTGTATGGATAGAATCAAAGTATACCTTCAAAGATTTCAAACACCAAAAGCAATAGAAAACTAATGAAAGTAGAGTTAAAGTCCACTTAATACACTTCATATATCTAATGCATACTCATTAATTGCTAAAAAGAAGTACACAAAATTATTATTTTTTAAATACTTATATAAAATAAGTCTCAAGTATTAATGTGAAGAGGTTAAGAATTCACATATATAGAGGGGACTTGAGTAGTTTGAATTATTAGAAACAAAAATATTTTTAAAGTTTGATTGCACGTTTGGGAAGGGAAGCCCAAGGTCAAAGAAGGGACAAACGAGGGGTTAGATTTCTGGATTTTCTCTAAATTTGAAGTCCCCAAAGTGTGCCATTTGACTCGCTTAAACTTCCACCTTTTAAAATTAAGTAAATACTTTGTACTATGTTGATAAAATTAATTAAGTGAATTGTTGGAATTTTTTATAATTCAAAATAAGTGAATTCGTCAAAGTTTAAGAAAATTGTTGGGACTTGTTTACATGTTTACCCTTCAAATTTATATTTTCTAAGATAAAAGTTTGAGAATAATTAAAAAGGTAATAGTAGAAAGCAGTCTTTTATTTGTCCTTAAATAGTTGTCTTAAAGGGCCATTATATTTTCAAAGTTATGGGTTCATATTTAGTATTTACTGCAATTTTTGTAAATTGTACATATAAATTTATGCTCTGCGTTGAAAGTACTGACCTCAAATGAATCTAACACAAATACATTGGATTCGCCTTTGTCTAGACATGGTTGGCAAATGAAGTAGAAGAAATTACAATAGAAACA